GGAAGAGATTGCCCACCTTTCTCTCCCAGAGCCGCGAGTGGATTCGAACCTCCAGAGAGGCACTGCATTTGAGTTAGCCTTGCCACACCCTTAGGAAGCATGCCACCAGAGCTCCCTAAAGAGGCCAGCAATAGTGGGAGGTCCGTTGCATTACCCCGATTTGACCAGAGGCAGCAGCAAGGGGCCAGGCCGATGATAATATTATCCTTGCTTGGCTTTTCATCCCTGCGGGCTTCAGGAGAGACTTCCAGGCTCCACTCAGAAGCAGCTCCCTGAGCGGTAGTCATGACGCCCCGGGCTCTCCTGCTCATCTTGCTCCTGTATGTGTTGGTGCTGCAGCAGCTGCAGGCCCACGGAAGTGGTGTCTGGAGGAAAAGGAGGAGTAAGTGATGGACTGAGGGGGCTTTGGGAAAGGACCTGCGGGGCTGTGCCTGGTCTGCAGATGAGACTCTCAGCTGCATCCAACTTTGATCCCCAGCCCCGAGCTCACAGACTCCTCCCACACCATGGCTTCTAGCTTCTTCGCTGACTCTGGGAATAATGGTGAGGAAGGACTATCTATAGCTTCTTCTCCATCCCACAATCCCAGAGAACAAGGATGCGCACAGCAGTGAAAGGTGCCCTCGGCTGAAGCAGATGAGAGAAGAAAAGACTTAATCTTTCATTCGTGTACATTTGCCAGGGATAAATACATCCAGAGATGTGGGTAGATGTAGAAATGTAGGGCATTTGACAAACAAAATGTGGGGTCTCCTGGACCAAGTCCCAGTTATCATCAGAAGGACTAGGATTCTGATGGGAGCAGGAGGAAACCCAAAAGCAGTAACTTCTGGGTAGAAATCTTGGAGATAGTGAAGTGATGAGAAGAGAGAGGAGACAAAAAGCATTCTCTTCCCTTTCAGGGACCCTGAAAGCTCTGCAGAGCCAGGCAGGATGGGACCCCTCTGTCACTTCATGAAGCCCTTGGGGTCAGAGCCTAGATTCTGTGGAGGTCACCTCACCAAAGCCATGACTCATAAGGAGACAGGGCCCTGAATCAGGAGTGTTAGGAGGACCCAAGAGGCCTGGCTCTGGGAGGCCTCTTGAGGCAGGAGGGAGGCCTAGGGTTTAAAGTGAGAACAATCTGTAGGGTTTCGAAAGGCAAGAAGTGATTTATCCTGAAGAGCCTAGAGATTTAAGTGGAAACAGAGTCCTGGGTCTCTGAGCACTTTGAGAGTGAGATGCCTTCTAGGGACCTGGCTTTACTAACCCTGCCTCCCTCTCTCCATTTTCAGAAACCAAAGTCTGCGACTTTTGGCCCGACGTCTCCTTGTGTCACCACCATTGTTCCTATTTCCACTCGTGTCCGGAAAATTACAGCTGTTGCTTAACCTTCTGCGGGAATGTCTGCCTTTATCACCTGTGAGTGGGGGCTGGGCCCTTGCCTCTCTCCCCTCAGAGATGGTGCCCACCATTAAAGCATGACGATAACATCCTGCTGTCAACAGGAACCCTGTTCTTGCTACTGTCTGAACCACTTGTCCCTGTCAAATAAACCAGGACAGGCCCAGCAACGATGCCTTCCTACTCTCATTCCTGTCTTCACTGTCAGCCCAGTGCTGCACCATGACCCACTCGCCCCTCTCGTGGGCCTTTCTCCGTCCTTCCTCACCAGGCTTTCCTACTCTCTTTCGCTCTGACCTGGCATCTCTGCCAGGCCCAGGAGGCTCAGCTTCTGTACTCACCCATCCAGAACTGCTAGGGGCAAAAACTATTCATGTGGAGCCTCGGTCAGTGTCAAGAACACTCCTTACCCTACATCAGAAGGACCAAATGGAGTGGAGCAGTGAGGACGGCAACCTGGCCACCACAGAGTGGGAGTGCCCCAAGGGCCTCTTTCTTGTGGACACTGAGTCCCAGGGCAGTGAGATAACATGCCTAGGGCCAAAAGAAAGCAGTCAGCTCAAAGAGTGTGTTTCTGCTGGACTCCCTGTTTTTCCCCTTTTGCTCCACTGTGAACAAGCCCACAAACTAAGCCTACTGCCTGGCACCGATTGTGCCTCCTGCAGGACCTCTGTAGCTTTCTGACACTGTAAATCTTAAAGGGATCAGACTCTCCCTTTTACTTCCTTGGAGCAGATGGTAGATTTGAACTGCCAGTGTTTTATTTAGCAGCTCAACTTCTAACCCACTAAACCACTAGAGAGATCGTAGGGAAATCAGTGTCCATGCTAAGCACCCACTCCTCATGCATCATCCACAGACGTGGCCATTCTCCCACCAGTTCTGAGCATCCCGTGGGTGGCCAACAGAACAAACACGTTTTGGAGAAGGTGCCATCAGGAAGCTCCTTAGAGGCAAGGATGGAGAAGCTTCATCTCACACACTTTGGGCATGCTGCTAGGAGAGGGTATTCCTTGGAGAGGGACCTCACGCTTGGAAAGGCAGAGGGGCGGCAAAGGAGGGGAAGACCCTGAAAGAGATGGATTAACAGAGTGACTGTGACAATGGGTTCAAGTGTGTCAGGGGTGATGAGCATGGCACAAGACAGGACAGGGTTCAGATCTGTTGCTCGTAGGGTTGCTGTGTGCCAGGGCTGTGACTGTTGTCTTCCACGGTGAGTGGTCCTTATCTTTTCTCCAGTCCACTTCCTCACATTCTCATGTTTTCAAATCAGCTTCAGTTTCTGCACCTGCAGAACAAGAGTAGCAACAGTGTCGCCTCCGTAGTGTCCTTGACTGTGTCATTTGTCGTCAGGTGCTGTCCAGTTGGCTCTGATGTGTGGCAACCCTGACCAAGTGCACCAGAAAGACACTGCTCAGTCTGTCACCCTTTCAAGGTCACCGCTGTGCTTGCATTCATTGTTGTTCTCAAGATGGGTGTCAACCCACCTCATACCTGCTAACTATCTGGCATCCAGAGAACCTGGAGCAGTTTCTAAGCAGCTAGCTGCACTGCCAACCCAAAGGTGTGAGGTTCAAATCCACTAGCTTCTCCATGGGACAAAAATGGGCAATCTCTTCCTGTGTGATTTGTAGCCTCTGAAAACCCACTCGAGGGTCAGCCATGGGTCGGTTCCAATCCAACTCGAAGGCATAACCACAGGGAATTTGGTATTAAGTTGCTTGGTTCCAGATACTTTGGGTGTAAGTGCTGGATACACACTGAACATGTTAACAAACATTACATAGTAAACGCTTTACATGTAACAACTCATGCAATCCTCACACAACCCCAGAAAGAAATACTATCATTAGCTCCACTTCTCAAAATGAGAGATGGAGACCCAAAGAAAATTAGTGATCTGGTTAAAATAAGTCAAGAGTCAGGATTTTAGTCCAGGTGAAATTCATGCTATGTGGCTTTTTCTAACCTCTCTTTTCATCAGCACGAAATCCACCAGACGTGAGGGATAAGGAAGGGTGAGGCCGATGCCCACAATGGGGGAATTCTTATAGAGATAAGTAGGATTTGCAAAGATTGCACAAAGTGTCTGTGTATGTGTTGGGTTTGGGAAGGCTCTTGTTCCTCCACTGTCTTCTGCCCCTACCTATATCGCCCACAGCACAAAGGAAGACATAGGTATTCCATGAGTAGAAGATTTAATAGAATGAAAATCTTTGCTTTATGAAGACAAGAGTTTTATTTCATACGACACTAAATAGAATCTTATTAAGTGTTAAAAATCTATGTGTATATCACCGTAAACAGGCATTTGTTGTTGTTGAGTTCCTAGAATGGGAACCGGCCTATGGCTGACCCTGCAGGGAGTTTTCAGAGGCACTTATCACCGGGGAGGAGACTGCTCCTCCTTCTCCCACCGGAGCAGTAACGTCTATTTCAACGTCTGTAGCTATGCCCTTGAACTACGACTAACGCCCAGTTACAGTGTCCCTAGTTTCACACAGGTGTGTCATTTAGGTGGCCAATCTCACCGAGATGCTTGGGACTCATTCATTTAGAAAACTGTCAATGCACCTGCCCTGTTTCCAAGGCTCAAGAGCACTAACAGCCGAGGGTGACAGTTCTTGTGCTTGTCTTCTCAAGATTTCTATATTTTGGGAGGGAGCTCTGGTGGCCTAGTGGGTAAGGAGTCGTGCGACCAATCCAAAGGTGAATGATTCAAATCTACCAGCTGCTCCATGGGAGAAAGATGTGTAATTTTTCCTCCCTTTGCCTTGGGGAATCTGCTGGAACATTAACGACGGGCCAGTTCTGACTCTATGACAATGAACAATTCTTCATGGGTTTTGATCATATACTGTTTTCTTGTGAGAATTATATATTCTGACATAACTATCAAATAACAGAAAAAGAATTTGTTCAGAGTTCCTGATGGAATTAGGTAGATATTCCCAAAATAGTAATCAGATTTGCTGGGTAATGGGATGCTGCCCAATGTTATAATTGTTGATTAAACCTACATGGTCATTTACTAATGGCTTTCCAAGTTACTTATGACAGGTGCAAATAAAAGCCTGCAGCAAACACCTTCCTGGAGCTGGGTCGTATCCTCTCTCTCGCTTTTGCCCTGGATGTGTTACTTCCCTCCTCTGGGACTCATTTTCCTTACTTTCAATTGTCCCTGGGCAGCCCCACATTGTGGCCATGCCCTTAAGATACAGGAATGTTCTCAGTGTTTGAAGGGGACACACCTGGACAGCTTAGCCCCCTGGAAGATCTGGGTCAGTGCGGGACAAGGGGCTGAGCCTCCTGGGTCTGCTGGAGGCGTGTGGGCCAAAGGGAAAGAAAACAAAAGGTTGACAGGGAGAGAGAAGTGCAGATGGGGGCGGGGGCAGAAGAGAGGACCAGGCAAGTGTGGGCGTTGCGGGCTGCGTGAGCAATGTGCACAGGAGTGGGGGGACACAGAAGCATTCCTGGGCTTGCCCTGGTTTATTTGAGGACAAACAGTTCAGATAGTGGGGAGAGCAGCACTGCCGGCTGACAGCTGGCATTTGTCGTCTTCATGCTTAAGTCTTGGGTGCAAACTCAGAGGAGAGGGTGGGGCCCAGCCCCCCCAGTCACAGGACGCTCATGCAGATGTTTCCACAGAAGGTTGAACAGCAGATGTTATTTGCTTGACATTCCTTGTGGTTCACACAGAGGCGGCTGCACAGGTAGATGCTGGGCCGCTTCTCACAAGTCTGGACTTCCATCGTGTCCTTGGGCTCTGACACGGGGCCGGAGGCAGGGTCAGTGGATCCAGTGCACCCCGCTCTCAATCTCCTCTAGGACCCACAACTCAATTTCTACTCAACCTTCTCACAATTTTCAGGGATCCCTCCCAGTCCTCCAAAGCTGACAGATTGTTCCCACTTTGAATCCTAACACACACACACACATCCCTGTAGGAGTTTGGGCCACCTTCTCACACACCTGCTCTTGGGCCCAGTCTCCCAATGAGGCACAGATGACCTTTATAGACTCTATGCTCCGCCCCAGAGGGCTTCATGAAGCTAGAGAGGTGTCCCCCCATGAGCCCCCTTCTTCAGAGCTTTCAGGGTCCCCTAGAAGGAAGAGAATGTGTCCTCCCAGTCCTCTCATTACTTTATGGTCTCCAGAATATGGGTTCCCAGAACCCATCACTTTCTGCCACCCCTCTGCCCCCACTAGCACCTTGGTCCCTCTGAGGGTAACTGGGACTTGGTTCAGCAGCCTCTGCATTTTGCTCCTCCAACGCCCTTTCGTTCTACAACCAGCAAGCTCTCTTAATATGGGTGAAGTATTTTCTCCTCCCATCTGACTCAACCCTGGGCACCTTTTCTGCTGTGCCCTTGGGTCATCAGTCTCTGAGACTGGGGCATGGAGAACACGATGGTGTAAGTTGTCCCCTCTCGAGGTCACTGTTCCTGCTATCAGTGAAAGGGTTGGACGCCACGGTGTGGGAGGGCTGTGTCCTCATGGCCAGGGGGGGTCACAGGTGGATGAGCTAAGAGGCACTAGTACTCAGACTAGACTAGTATTTTCTAGACTAGACTCAGCCCCCTCCCCATTCCTCCTCCTCAGTCCATCACCTACTGGGAGAGTGCTTGTGGCGTCTGCGGGGCCCTTCCTGGGACTGCGGCAGCACCATGCACAAGAGCAGGATGGGCAGCAGAGTCTGGCGTGCCATCACTCTGACCACGACTGCCAGCTTCTGTGTCTGGCTGGAAGTTTCTGGACTTTGCTGGAGTGGCTGCCAGGAGAGGTGGAGGCAGAGAAAGGAGACAGTTGATCCTGGACTCCCTGCTGCCCCCTCTGGTCAAGTCGGTAATTCAGGGAGCCGTGTTCTCTCCCACTTTGCCTGCCCCCCCCCCTTTTTTTTTTGGTCTCTTGGATCATGTCCTTTTCTGTGGGAGACTTGGCTTTGGCAGGGGACAAATCTTCTTACATAATAAACCTCTCCTTTTGACAAGAAAAGTTTTCTTTATGAAAATTATTATATGTATATACATACATGTACACACACATTCTAACTCCAACTCTCCACACATTTCATTTGCTTTGTCTTCTCAAGTTGCCCTTAGAAATCTTTTGCCTCGTGGGGTGAGGGAGCTCTGGTGGCCTAGTGGCAAGATGCTGCACTGCAATCCCAGAGGTATGTGGTTCGAGAAGGAGGGGGCAATCTCCTCCTGTACCAGTCAGATCTGATTTGACGGTACACATAAAAATAATACAATTAAAAAAAAAAAAAAAGAAATATTTTGCCCCGGCATTCTTTCCCTTTGTCTTGGCTTCTTTCAATTCCAATTCAATTTTCAGAGTCTCTTCTGACGTCCATTTTGGGCTTTTCTTTCTTCCCTGTCTTCGCAATGACCTTTTGCTTGCTTCGTGGACACTGTTCTTGATGTCATTCCACAATCTTTCTGGTCATCAGTCATTAATGTTCAATGTGACAAATCTAGTCTTAAGATAATTTGTAAATTAAAATAGGATACACTCAAGGTCTTATTTTTGTTCTCATGGATTAGTTTTCATTTTCTTTAGTTTCAATTTGAATTTACAGTTGAATAGTTGGTGGTCTGTTCCACAGTCAGCATCTGGCCCAGTTTTGACTACTGATATTGAGCTTCCCCAGCGATTCTTTCCACAGATGTTGTCAATAGGATTCCTGTTAAGTGAAGAAGACTTGAAGCTCTTGCTGCAGAAGATCAAAGACTACAGCCTTAAAAATGAGTTCATCTCAGCATCAAGAAAATCCTCCCCACTGGATCAATAGGCAACATCATGACAGATAGAGAAAAGACTGAAGTTGTCAATTATTTCATTTCACAATCAGTAAACAGTAGCATCAGTTAAGAAATCAAAAGATTGGTACAACCACTACGGATGGCAGACTGGCACTTTCTCACAATGTTGGAAACAGAAATACCATTTGACCTAGTTATTCCACTGCTGGGAATATGTTATTGTTGTTACGTGCCGTCGAGTCGCTTGCAACTCATAGCGACCCTATGTACAATAGCCCTAAACCCTGCTCTATCCTGTGCCAATCGCACTGCCTCTGACACACCCATCCCAATTACCCCAGTCACTGAATCAATCCACCTCATAGAGGTTCTTCCCCTCCTGCGCTGTCCCTCCACCCAACCAAGCATGATGTCCCTCTCCAAATACCTGTCTCTGTCTCTCCTTACAACACGTCCAAAGTACGTCAGATGAAGCCCCAAAATCCTTGCCTCCAAGGGGTAGCCTGGTTTAACCCTCTCTAGGATGAATCTGTTTGTTTTCTTGGCAGTCCATGGTACATTCAATACTCTTTTCCAGCACCATAGCTCAAAGGCATCAATTCTCCTTCTATCCTCCCTAGTCATTGTCCAACTCTTTGATGCATAAGTGAATTGCAAAGACCATGCCATGGCCTGTATCAGGTGCACCTTAGTCTCCAGAAAGACACCGTTGCTCTTGAGTACTTTAGCTGCATGGGCAGAAGTCGGGGCCAGACATTAGAGAAGTGACTCATGGCAAAAGCTTCTGACACACCCACAGGTACAAAGCCCAAGGCGGAGCCAAAATCGGGTCCGGAGGAGCTGGCAATATACCCTAAAGAAATCAGAGCCACAACTCAAACAGATGTATGCACATCCATGTTTCTTGCTGTATTACTCACATCAGCAAAGAGATGGAAGCAACCCTAGGGCCCATCAATAAAAGAATGAATAGAAAAACTATGGTATATCCACACAATGGAATACTACGCAGCATTGAAAACCACTAAAATAGTAAAACATTTCACAATAGAGGAGCCTTGAGTACATTATGCTAAGTGTAATATCTCAATCGCAAAAGGATAAATCCTGCATAACACTACAGTTATAAAATAGGACGGACACAGGAGGGTTGGAGAGGGAATGGGGAAAGAGTGGATAAATAATGAACACTGCATTAGCACTGATGGGGGGGGGAAGAACCTTTGAAAGGAATATATGATTATGCATTATATGTATGAGAACAATCTGGAACAAGGGGTGCATTGCAAGGTGGCCTAGGGGAGGGGAAAGGAAGGAGGGAGGAAAAAAATATGCAACAATGAATAAAAAAAATCAGGGGGAAGAATAAAAAGATGTTTACACTGGGGAAATTTTCTGTCAAAGCACCAAAGTTTTAGGGAGCAATGATGTCAGTTTAAAGACTAAGGTGCCCATGATCTAAGCTTTGGTATTTTCAATTGCTCCTTATGCACATTAAAGTTTGGCAATGAACAAGGAAGATGATTGAAGAATCAGTACTTTTGAGTTGCAGTCTTGGCAAAGAGTGTTGAACTATATATACCATGAAATTTGTCTTGAAGGAAGTACAACCAGAGCACTCCTTAGAGGCTAGGATGGTGAAATTGTCTCTCTCACTTTGGGCATATTTTCAGGAGGAACCAGACCTTAGGCAGAGAGACATCACGCTGGGAAAGGTAGGTCTGTGAAAGAGAGGAAGCTTGAATGATGTGAGAAGATCCTTGCTGCCTAGGTGTGGGTGTGGGACAGAGGGGGAAAGCAGAGTTTCATCTTCAGAATGGGTTTCTTCCCTCTACAGAACAACACATGTATCAAAATAGTGAATTGCTTCCATATTGTTGTTGTTTGCCATCAAGCCTAGCTGACCCTCTAGTGGGTTTTCAGAGGCAGGCAGTCACACTGGAGGAGGCTGCCCATCCTTCCAGGGAGCAGTGGGTGGATTCACACTGCATACCTATGGGTTGGCAGCACATGGTCCTGCTTTCCTAGGTTTAGCAGTCAATGTCTTGCATCCAGTGTACGTCTGTATTCCACACAAATTGAGTGGGAGGGACAAGAAAAGCTTAGGTCAATTAAAAAAAAAATTGTGTGTGTGTGTGTGTGTGTGTATTGTCAAATTGGTTCTGACTGGTACAGGAGAAGACTGCCTCTCCTTCTCGCACAGAGGATCTGGGGGTTTCAAACAGCACACCTCTGTGATTCCAGTGCAACTTCTTGCCACTAGGCCACCAGAACCCCCTGAAAAGCTTAGGTCAATTTAATCCCTGAATCATTGCTAAAATTTGGACTGGTCAGACAGTGAAGAGTCTGGGCTCTGACACTGAGCTCTTTCCTTTTTTGGAGGGGGGGGCGAGGGATCCCCAAGCTCCTCAGTAGCCTGCCTGAAGTCATATATCTTCTCGTGGTTCCTCCTCCACTAGAATTTGGCTGCCTGATCGATCGCAGATTGAGACTTTTTTCTCTCTACCAGGTTGTGCTCCACAGGGGACTCCATGAACATCAGGCATGTGAGGTCATCTCGGGGCTGGGGCTAGCTCAGTATTTGGTGCGAAGATTAACAAGTGGTGGGAGGACAAGCAATGTGTGAGGGGCTGTGGACAGAACAGGAAGCTAGACAGCGGTGCCTATTATTGTCTACCTTTTACATATGTCAAAACTGACTCAGAAAAAAAACAACTCACAAACAAACAAACAAACAAAAAACTGACTCGGAGAAGAGCCAGCAACTCTCAACGATCCAGAGCTAGTAAAAGCTAGTAATAGTAAAAGATTCTAAAGTCAGTGCCTTAAACCTCATCCACTCACTCACTTTGTTGATCAAATATTAGCAATTAGGCAACTGCTTCTCAAGAGCCTGCCTCTTGGCATTAAGATCTACAGCTTTCTGGAATGCAGAACTGTCCACGTGACTCATTCTGGTTGCTGCGTTCTTCGACGTTCTGCCTTCTCTGTGGCAGGACTCAGCTTCACCATGTGTTTTAGTGAGAGATTTTGGAACGTAAAAAAAAAATAAATAAAATTCTTTCTTTAACAATAAACTTTCACCAGATGATACTGAAAAAAATATTTTCCTGCCACAGACACAAACACAGAAGCTCGGAAAGCACCATCCTGATTCCTTTGATTTGTTTTCTGGGTATTTTTGTAAGATTAATGGTTGTTATGTGCCACCGAGTTGGACACGACTCATAGCTGCAGCTCATAGCTGAGCCTCCAATGGGTTTTCAGTAAATCCCACGGGAGGAGATTGGCCATTTTTCTCCTCTGGAGTAGCTGGTATATTTGAACTGTGAATCTTTGGGTTGATAGTTTTTGTTGTTATGTGCCGTCCAGTCGTTTGCGACTCATAGCGACCCTATGCACAACAGCCCTAAACCCTGCTCTATCCTGCGCCAACCGCACTGCCTCTGACACACCCATCCCGATTACCCCAGTCACCGAATCAATCCATCTCATAGAGGGTCTTCCCCTCCTGCGCAGTGATAGTACAGCTCCTTATCTCTGGGCCACAAGAGCTCAAGATTAAGGGTATCCAGGCGACCTCTGGTGCCCTAGTGGCAAGAAGCTGCAACTGTAATCTCAGAGATGCACGGTTTGAATCCACCAGATGCTCTGCTGGAGAACGAGGAACAATCTCCTCCTGTACCAGTCAGATCTGATTTGACGGTACACACAAAAAATAATGAAATAAAAGGAAAAAAAAAGATTAAGGGTATCCAGTGCCATTTTTTGAGCTGAATGCCTAGTATTTCACAGAGGTGTGAGTTTTCCTAGGAATGCTTCTTTTATCTTCTGACCTCTCTAGGAGTGTAGCCATTTCTACAAAGTCAGAATGTCTACTGTGAACAGATCTCACCCTCTTCTGTTCTCCACCTTCAGGGTCCATCTTTGTGCTCCTTTGGTG